AAAGAATCTTTCAGCTCCTATGTTGTGACACCAGTGATATACAGAGTCGTGTTTCTGCTGTGCTTTTAAAATGGGATCAGAGATGCTGGTTTGATTGGCCATTACTAAAGTCAGCCCCGCCTCCACCTGCTCATGATGCATTCCTCCCACTAATAATGTATTTAGCCTCTCTTCTACATTGTGCCTGGCTGTGTCTAATGCTAAAAAGAGCCAGCGGCTAGCTCTTTGGCATTGTCCCCCATCATGATTTCTGGTCTTTACTTTAAACTAAGCTAATATAAACTAAGCTAGCCTAACTGTGTCCCAACTATACCTTCATACATACATACAAGATTGGTATCTAATCACCTCAACTAACTGAGCAAAAAAAAACAGCAAATAAATATATTTCCCAAAATGCCTAACTATTCATTTACAAAACAATAAAAATATATCATATTTTACTATCTTATAATAATCTTTATAACTAGTTTATCATCAGAAATCTTATTTACCAGCCACACCTGCATGACACTGTTCAGTCTGTCCAGTCAAGCCCAGTAATTCCCAAGACAAACCAGTTGCATCTGATCTAGTTTAAGCAGTTTTTCAGCAGTTTGAAGATAAATGTGAAATGCTTGCTCACTAATTCTTCATCACTGACATGACATAGTCATCAGAAATATAGCAGTACTATAGCAATAACAGGTGCTGTCGGTGTTTTTGGTCTCAACAGCTAGCTCATGCTGACTGTCTATAAGAAGAAAATGTATGTCTGCCTTGAAGGGGTAGTCAGCTGGTGCACTGACTGTTTTGAGCATCTAAGCCCTGCCAGATGGCTCCTTGTGTGGGAAGATCAGAGGCTAATTCTTAGGTCTTGGCTAGCTGCTCCCTTGGAGCCCACTGTGTGCTCATTAGCTCTGCTTAATACAGTGAGGTGAGAGGGCTGTGCAAACCCTGACTCCCTCATCCTCTGATTCATGTACCTGGCTCTTCACCACCCCTTTCATCTGGCTCACTGCATGCTGACTGTAGGAGCCAAGGCCAGGCCTAACTAATCACAGCCAGATTAGTGCCAGTCATGTGCCTTGGGGGGCTTCATTAGAGCTAATCTTTACCACTGCTGGTCCTGAATAGCGGGTGAGTGTGCAAGACTGTACAGCATGTACAAGAATGGGGGTTTGTGTGCATATGTGTATCCTCTCTAGCAGAGATTGTGCAGCTCACCGGTTTTCCTATGCTACCAGGGTCTCCGAGAACACCAGCACGTCCTTTGTGTCCCTAGAGGGCAACAATCAGGATGGTGTCATAACAGTTTTGTAATAATGATTGATGCTGAAAAGACTACGTTATTTCTTCAGGTTGACTTGAAATAGATTACTTGCCTTGACTCCTTGCAGTCCCTGGGGGCCTTTAGGTCCTGCTGGACAGTTAATAGGACACTGTTGTAGAAAGAATGAAATGTACAGATTATGAAGACTGAAGTTTTGTCAGAATAGATTTCCATGGAAGTGGATGCCATAAGATCTTTACCTGGAAGTCTGCACTACCCTCATCTCCACCAAGAAACATGCCTGGAGGACCCTAGACAGACAAACACATAGATGGAAAGATTAAGCCAGTCACCTGGTCACAGTTGGCAGACCGTTTCCTCTTCTCCACTCTCTCTCCATCTTTCCTTCTCTGTTTATAGCTTGAGTTTGAAAGTAAGGCATCCCTACAGGGACTGGTGTATTCCTGCTACAGTCAGATGTAACAGCCCACTGATCTAATGGGGGTTTATTTACCCTAGGACGGCACTAAAGCTAAACAAATACACTCCCCTGGGCTGGGAACAGCACTTTCAATGAAGAAACCACCCACTTCTTGGAACCATTCAAAGATGCACACAAGAAAGTACATACACCATTTGGAAAATAGTACTGTTTGTGGTATCTTTTACTTAGTGTCTGTTGGGAACTGTACAAGCAGTACTGAGCTCTATCTGTGTTATCATACAGTATATTTTAAAAACACATTAATTGCTGCTGCGGAACAGATCATACATGTGACAAGTGTTAGTAGATATGGGGTCAACTTTGCTTTATTTTTACACTGTGATATTCTATAGGTAGGTAGGTAGGTACTTTATTGATCCCACAGTATAGGTTAACTGCAAGTAAACTGATATAATAGGCAAGTAGACTGATATAATAGGCCAATGAGATGCCGGTAGCTCATTTACAGTATCTCTCATTGTGTCTACAGCGAATCTCACCAGTCTCATTGAAAAGAAACATCTTTTCTATGGATAAAGTTTACATTTATCCAAGCAGCACAGTTTTATTCACCATTTGTCCATTGTTCTTATTAGAGCTAGACTAATAAATGTGATAGGCTATTATATCAGTCAGTCTTAAAATAATTGGTTTTGGCATATACTGTACACATCCAGGCTAATATAAAAATAAATTACAACACAAATATCCCAAAGATTATGTTGCAATTGCATTGTTTGTCCACCAGAGCTCTGTTAAGTTTATTTTTAAACTGTAGTTTAAAATATCCCACTCAGGACCTATCTTAGTCACAATTCTTAAAAACAAACAAACACAACAAAACATAATCATTATCAAAAAAATATTTTCTTATGTGAGTTTATGTATGTATTTTTGGTAATAAAAGTGACTTCCCACTGCTATATCCTGTTAGCCTAAAAATCAAGTACTGTTTGAACTACTCGGGGAGTATAGCATGAACAGAGGATGTTCCTGGCCATCCTCCTGTTTGTCCATCCCCACCACAACATGATACTCCATAGCACTTCAACCTCTTGATTTCAAGTTTCCCAGAGCCAGGTTACCTCTAAGATCTTCTTTGTTCCATTAAAAATCTGAGAGAAAGATGACATATATTTAAGATAACCAGTCCTGGGTCTGCACTTACTGGCTTGCCAGGAGGTCCGAGAAGTCCTGGAGGTCCAGGTGGTCCCAAGATGCCCTAAACAAAGTGGGGAAAGGAAAGAAGCTGTGAGTAAAAGCCAAAAATGAAATGGTTCTGCCAGCTTACAATGGTCATACCTTCGGTCCAGTTGGTCCAATTTGACCAGGAAGACCGATTGGCCCTGGAATGCCCTAGACATAGACACACAGAGTGCAAGACAATACAATGTCTATACTTCCTAATAGCCACAAAATTTTTTCCATACCTTCTGACATGAAGTGATAAACACATGACTCTATTATACAATACAAGTTACTTACAGCCAGTCCTGGAAGGCCAGGTCCCTGTACGGATAGAGGTGAGAAGGGGCTAAATTACTGTATAACAGGTGAAACCATTCTGTCAAAATATCAGTGAATGTTTGCAAAAGCCAATTAAAAACAGCAGCAGTAATTCTGTAGTAAGTGTGTACAGTGACAGAGCAAGAAAAAAACTAAATACTCAAGAAGACACAATCACCTTATGTTTACTCTGTCTTTTGGTTGGAAATATTTATAAACAATAATTAAGTAAGAAAGCCTTCTTGGAGGGAGAACAGCTTGAGGCAGCTGGGTGTACAAGCACAGGCCCAGTCAGGATGCCTGTTACTGCTAAACAAAGGATTTCACTAATGGTGCTACATTCAAACATGGCACTGGATGACTCTGGACTTAATGTCTGAATATATTGGATGATGTGTGATAGATGGACAGAGAGCACCACCTAGTGGTGTCAGACTGGGTTACAGATGGTGTGTTTTTATGCTTCACTGTTGAACTGGCCTTGTATTTGCCGGTGGCCATAAAGTTGATGGTAGCATTTAATGATACTATGATCATAAAATATGGATTATTTAGAGCACATTTCGTTATCAAGAGTGGTATGTAGGAATAAGACTCATGTCAGTTGTACATGGAATATGCCACACCTGGTAGTGAACCCGACAAGAGAGCACAGCTGGCAAGGTATTCAGACATTTAAAAAAAAGACTCAGGAGGTTGTCTTATGAGACCACCTGGGCTACAGTATATTTGTTAGGAGACTGACTAGGCTTCAAACAATACCTAATTCAGCCAGTCATAAGTCATTTCAGAAGCATCATGTCAGCTTTAGGAGATAAAAAAATATATATTTGTCATACTTTAAATAAATAAACACTAAAGTTGCAGATGCAGTTTTGAGGTACTTGAGTATATCAATTTCATGCCACTTTATATTGCTACTCCGCTACATTTGAAATAGATATATTGTGCTTTTCTTTCTTTTTTTTTTACACCACTACATTTGTCTGGCAGCCATAGGCACAAGCTATGCTTCAAATGTAACTTTTTGAACATATAAAATGTGATGCACTAAAGATTAAATCAGTGGTTCCCAAACTGTTTGGCTTGTGATCTCTTACAGAAAAGCAGTGCCTGGTTTGGGCTCTGAGTCACAAGAATTTGAATGCAACACATTTACTTGCACTGCAGGTTTTTAACATTGTTTTACTGGAACAATTATTCAAATAAAATTGGAGTAATTCCTCCACCACTCCACATAGTATAAGATATTAACATATCTTCTTTATAGTAGAAAAAAAGTGATAGATGATAAACTGATTTACTTACAGGGGGCCCGGGCTCGCCACTTGGTCCAGGTTGACCCTAAAGACAACAGAACAGCAAAAGACTAATAAAAATAAATGAAGGCAATGTCCCCAGGACATGAGATTGGCTAACATGGCACTCAGCACTGAAGGTGAAACAATAGTTTATCTCTGACAGAAAATCTTGAGACACTGGGATAAGCAGGGATCAGTATCATGCTCCACATCACTAGGACAAGATAAAGAGAATGTGACTTGTTTGAGGATCATGCTTTCCAGAGAATAGCAGAAAAATGGTGCACTTGTTCTAATCATCTTTTCAGGTGGTGGATGAGACACTTGCCTTAGGGCCAGGGCTCCCAGTAGGACCTCGATCCCCCTTTGCACCAATCAAACCCTGTAGATAGGCAGAATGAAATGAAACCAGGCACTTAAAATAGACATTGTGGGGGTTAAAAATGAAATTAGCAGTTATCATTGTGCTTTCCACAGGCTTTCCTCCGATTTACCTCCCATTAGGGCAGATCATGCATTTGACTGAAGCTGACACTGTTCTTGGAAGTAATTAGGAAACAAACTTGAGATTGAGATTCCAGGGCAGATTACTGGCTAATCTCTGAGGAATGCATCTGTGTGTGAGTTTCTGTTAGCATGTGACCACTCAGTTCACCTCCTCTCACAAGTACTGACCTTCAGAAAGGCTACATCACTATTGCTATTTGGAAATTTCATTCCTGAAGTTTAGAAATCATTGAAATCTACTTGATTTTATTTCTCTTACAAGAGATTTAATAATGTAAATGCAATCAGTGAGGAATAATGGGTGTTTGTTCAATCATCTGTCAAAGGGCATTTCTAGGACAGAAGCAGTGAAATAAGCTTTAATTACTTAATCATCATAATTATGAGAAACCAATATTTAGGAGTTCAAGGATCAGCGCTGCACTTCTGTTATTAGACTCTTCAAACCCAGCATACAGAGGGAAACTCTAAACTCCTTGATATGAAAATAGCTCAGCATGTACAGCAACTTAATATACTGTCTAATGACCTGTTCTTGAATAAGAACATCTTGAATTGTAAATCAATTATCAGAGTAAGCACCAAAAGCCTTAGAAAATGCTTTAAATAATACATTAAAATGAAAACAAAAGATTAGTTTGAGGATTGTTTTGATGTTTTTAGTGTCATATACATTACAATAATGTAATGCTATGCTGTGTATTCAACATTAATTATCAAAGCCCATCGTTGAAGTGTTACAAGCACAAACACATTTTCTACATCATAAGAGCTCTGCAAAAATGGACTACAAATCTCCCAAGTGGGAGTTGTTTTGTCAAGCTACCATATTCAAAATCAAGAACCAACTATCTTATCAAGAATTAAATATCCTATTGACATACTATCCCACGTCTCCATGACGACATTGTAAACATGACGCCCACCGAGGCGGTCGTGTTTACGCGTTCCACTCTTGAATGCCGGCTTTTTCTTCGTTTTCTTCTTTTTTGTGTGTTTTTTTTACTTTTTCTGCAGTGCACAAATGTCATGCACTGCTAACATACAACAGACAGGCATTGCCAACTCACACAGCCACTGGGAATTTACTGGTTTCATACCACCGGAGCTACAACTCATTGTCCGCTCCCGCAACGACTACAACCACCATCACCCTGGAGCCCCCGGAGCACCAGGCACAAGCGAGCAGGCTGAAATCAGGAGAGCGACCTGGAGACGGAGAAGCAAGCGATGCAAGCGCAGGGGACTCCATGCTAGGCTATTACCCAGCCTCTTCATAGCTACAGTCTCTGGAAAACAAACTGGACGAGCTAAGGGCTAGGATTACAGCATAATGGGAAATCAGAGAATGCTGTGCTCAAATTCTCACTGAGACTTGGCTTTCTGACAGAGTCCCAGATTCCGCGATTCAGAAGGCAAAAGGAGGCGGTGTGTGTGTTTATCAATAACTTGTGGTGTGGTGATGTACGCACTGTTTATAAGTACTGTTCGCCAGATAGAGTTTTTATTGCTGAAATGCCGGCCCTACTATCTAACCAGAGAGCACAGTGTTAGGTTATTTCCTAGTTAGATAGATATTCATAGATTTGTTGTCTAGAAATGTTTAGTGCAGACAGATTGACTAGCTCAGGCTGTTAACTGTTCAGTAATGGGCCTGCAGTGCAGACTGCAGGCAGGTCAAGGTTACAGGCAAAGAGCTGTTGGTGTAAACTGTAATGCTAGTCTTAATATTTGTCTTAATGTGTAAGGTTATGTCCAATTGTTTTAGATACACACCACGAAAACAACAGTCACACACCTTGACTTTTCCTCATGTTTTGGCTAACATTAGAGTCAGCTGCAAGCTGGCTTATCAGGTGACGTCACGGTCTTGACGCCCTGCGTAGCATGGGCTAGCCCAAAAAATGATTAAGATTATATAGGTCTCATTGAGAGTTCCTGGTTTAAAAGAACCGGAAGAAGCTTCATAGAGAAATAGTAGTTTATAACAGTGCTGTGTTTTTAGCTGCTGTGTATTCTTAAATAATTATCTTCTACACCACACAAGTAATATACTAAAGAA